GTCAAGGCAGAAACGCCTAGAAAAACTCTGCGAGTTATTTGAAAGCTAAAATAATTTTCGTGTATTGTACGGTCAATACGACAATCTGACAATGTGGTCAATGCAACAATTCATGTAACGGTTCCATCGTGATCAAAAAATAATCATGTAAAGCGCCTCGGTTGTTTGTTAATCATTCACTGTACTAAACATCTTCGAAAATAAGAAAGTCGAGCATTGCTTATGCCATCGCTTTACGCACATTTGTAAGATTTGAGACAATGATCTGAACTAGAGGGAAAACGTTCTGAAGAATATTTAGCTTTCCTATTGGTTGTAAAACAAAAGCTTTGTACCTCGAGTTTATCTTAAAAAATAGCAGACACGGCGATACCGGCTTAAAACTTAACCTGAAGCTTAAATCTGGAAGGTTTTATTCATGACGCAAGGATTTTCAGAGAAACACTTCACTCTCTCAATACATGTCTTCATGAATTGTTGGTTTTAACATGACGTCACTAAAAATCAAACTAAAAAACTGTCGATCCTAGAGAGATTTTACTTTCACGATGCATTAGAGCAGCTGAAAACTAATTTTCATACAAATTTTCTTTTCAAAAGGGTTCTTGGTTTTGTAATAGAGTACGCTTGAATTTCTAAGCTTTTGCGTGACGCGACATTTACATTAGGGCCAAGAGGGCTGTCATGTAGGTTAAAAAAATGACTTATTTCAGGAAATTTTGCTATCTAAACAGTTCATGTATTAGAAAAAGTATTACTTTAATGTTTATGAGTTTTTCGAAGAATAGATTCACGCTTTTGTAGCAAAACTCGGTAACAGATGTTTCTGTTGGTTTCCGTCCGCCATGTTGGAGCTCATCCAGGTGAGCACCAGCATGGTGTCTCCATACAAATCTCTATAAGTTTGGGTAAAACATTTCTTCGGATATCTCGTATACGAAATAATCCTCTGACCTGAATCTTGGCGAGGGTCTTTATATATATACCTCCGTTCATTTTCCAGATTCTGGGCTTTATCTATTGAACGGTTTTGATTTTTATTTTGATCTATTTTGAATGGCGTGACGCTGAAAGCCAGCGATAGAAACTGTTGTCCTTTTAAATTTTCCATTGAATTATATTTCATGTCTCGACTGTTTTTCAAGATCCCTTTCTTATCGCTTTGGCGTTTGTTGCTTTAATTTCAGTTGTACCTGAACATCGCATGTCGCAGGAGTACTCAAAATGCCGCGTACCGTGTATCATATGAATTTGGTGTTTTAGAAGCAAAATGTAAACGAAAATGATTCCGAGACCTCTTCCTACTATATAGTTTCTCAAAGCCATTTATTACCGCTGCATACTACATAACATCAGAATGACCTGACCGAACAGTCCCGTCTAATGGTGAATTTCTTTTATAGCGGAGCTCCACGCGCGCGCGTGGGCGGAGCCCCATAGCTTAGTAAATCTACCCATCCCAGAAAATTTTGTAATCACGTGACCGTACACCGACCGACCGACCGCCCGCCCGACCGTCCGTCCGCACCACAGGAAAATCAATGTTTACTTTCACACTTTCGAACTACTTTGGGAGCCCAGGGGGAAATTGATTGCACATCAATGTTGTGATCAATTGACAGCTGTCAAAACAAGGTATCCACTGACCAGTATCACCTGACGGTATTGCGGGCTCAGGTGTCGACCCATCGAGGTCGAGTAATTTTTTGAAGTCATCCGCTGACAAGTTACTGATTTTCAAATGATCGCAGGCTCAAGCTTATTTTTTTTAAATTTCTATGAAATATGTTGCGTTTATGTCACGATAGCCCCGCACTATTAAGATTTTGATTTCAAACTAGACACGGACGCGAAAATTCAGCCAGTTATTTAAAAATACAGGCGGAAAAGACCTTTTTCACCCAGGTCACGTGTTGGTCACGCTCCACGCCCAATTTTTATGCTCTGATTGGTCAAAATTTGACGAGTGAGTTCATGCGGAAAATTTATGCAGCATCTTGAAACTTGTTTACTTTGACAGCTGAAGCTGACAGAGTTTTTTGTCAACTTGAGATGTTTTTAACTGTCTTTTTCCACTGAATGTCAAAAAGAAATACAGCTGCTATCAAGAGTCTTCTGTTATTCACGGCTAGTTTGTATATTGTTTTTTTTTTGGTGAGAGATGCGTCGCTTGTCAAAGTCGGAAATCCGATTCGGATGGCATCATTTTCGTTTTTCACCTTACTTTATGCGTATTGAAGAGGATTCAAAATTCTCAAGCGATTCTGGTGTTACTTGATAGCTTTCAGGGGCTGCATCTCGAATGGTAAGCCTGAGTAATTATTGTATTTGACGTTTGTTTTTTAGTATCTAATTTCATGTAGTCGAGCACTGTTTAGGCGGCAAGTTTATGCACGTTTGTAAGATTTGAGACAATGATCTGACCTACTATCAGGTTTGATACAAGCTTACAGAACTTTAAAAAACGTTTAGATATATTTTCTCACAGCAAATAGAAAGACAACGTTCCTAAGAATATTTACGTAGTTATAAATTTGGCTGTAGAAAAAAAACTTTGAGCGATTTTCTTGCCTCGAGTTTACCTTTGAGAAATCAAACACCGGGAGGAGGCTTAAAACATAAACTTATCAAGCTATAATGCATCAGTCAATTCTACCTGCGCCCAGCCTCCCCCCCCTTCCGGGCTGACCCCGGGGCATTAGCATTTTTTTTGCCTTGGAGGGCAAATTCCCGGGGCTGGAGACTCTTGAGCTGTCAAATCCCCCGGGATGGAGACGAAAAAAGAGGGCAAATGCCCCGTCCTCCGTAGCCTGTTCCAGGCGTTCAGATAGTAGAGCGCGGTGGTAAGTGGAGAGCGAGTTACGTTGTACACCGGAAAAACGGGGGGGGGGGGCGACTGCGAGAGAACGCCTGTAAACATTGTTAACAAAGGGTTGTTCCGGCATACTGGATTCCAGTATACCTTCTTATTGGTCAATGATGACACCCTCTGTTAACACTTGGACTGGTGACGTTGATGAGGATTGCGATATGGAGGGAGAGAGACATGTGTTATCGAATCACGCGGTCATCGAAGCTACTATAAACAATGCAATAGAGCATTTCCTGTATGAGGAAACTTTTCGTAAAGAGCAGAAAATTTGCTTGAATTTCGTTCGCCGAGGTCAGGACCATAAGGACGTTTTTGCGATTCTTCCAACGGGCTCTGGGAGACCTTCATTTTTCTACTCTTTCCATGAATAATAAACGTAATCAGAGGAAAAGTTGGCTAGTCAATTTCCGCGATCATCATCGTTGCGCCTCTCGTAGCCATAATGAAATCAAGCTCAAGCGATTTGGAATAACAGCAACAACAGCCATAGGTTGGAGACAGCCGGAGGAAGGCATAGACAAAGACACGGCAATGTGGAAACCCAGAAGGCAAAAAAAGTCTTATTTGAAAGGTTATTTAGCTTCAATAAAAAGATTAATACTTTAACAGAGGTCAAAGAAAATCAGTACTTAACTGCATCTAGAATCAAATTCTTTCAGAAACAAACCGCAGAAATAATTGCTCAGTATGCATGATTGACCGCCTAAATGTTAGACTCAGAGCGACAGAAATTAGATTTGAAGGAAAACGTCTGATGTTGTTTATCGAAAGCTAACTCAAAGGTCACGTTTCACACTATGACGGGCCGCGTGTAGCCTGTCAGCACTTTGTAGTTCATGTCACAGTTACGTGGTCGGCGGTCAATTAAGGGCGGAATGAGCTCTGTAAGGAAATGTATACAGGCGTTCTCTCCGCTCGTTTTTTTTTCCTCGTGAATTTTTCTCCCCCGCTCTACTATCTAAACGTCTTGTTTCAGTTAACGTATTCCTTTGAAATAGCGCGAGGATTCTAATTAAGACTTCACGCCGCGACGACATGCACCAGTTTATGGTTTTAGTATTGATATAAAATTATTGACATTAAAATTAATAGAGTGCTGTAAAGTTATATGTTATGAATAGTTTTATAAATATGAAAGGATCTTCTTCAAATAATATCAACAGAAATTTGATTCAATAACCAAATAGCCTGCAGTGCAGGCGTTTTCTTCGAGCGCGCAATTTGCACGCGAAAGCGCCATGTTGAAACTGCTAAAACTCACAATGTTTATCACCGCTATTTGTGTTTTATTTTTAATAAGGAAAATAAAAGCATCAAATGAGAATGATGAATTTTTGTTGCTATTCGCAGTGTTGCTTGTTCTTTTCGCCACTTTCGAGCTGTTTTTCAGACACTCTTTTACCACTTTAATTCTTTGCGTAAGAGAAGATAAAAAACGGTACTTTGCAAGCTGATTATGTGACTACGAAACTGAAATGAAAGTTTGATATCCGTGATATCCGTGCAGTGATTAGTTAGTTTTTTGATCCCTGAACCCCGCCGGCGAGCCCCCCTCCCTTGTACGACCCTCATTTTAAAATAAAGGTCTTTTAGGTGGACAAAAAGGTCATTTTGCATGTCGCCTGGGTGGCAGGCGCAAAAAGGGAGGCAGGCTATTTTGCATGGGAGGAATTTGTTTTCCACGCCTTATCTACTGTGGTCAAAGGTTGTTGTTATTTATTGGGCATAAGATTTTAAATGTTGTTTAATTCTTGCACTTTGCGAATTATTTTACTGCGTCCACGCGCACTTTCATTTCCCCCCTCCCCAGTCTCCCTACGACACAAAGAGGCCTCTGCGGATGAGAAAGAGTATTGCGTACAACGCGTGTAGGCGTCGCATATTTCCTCGTTCGATTTTTTTTCTTTTAATTGCTTTTGAGCTTACAATCAACGAAAAATTGCAAAGGGCAAATGCTACGAAAATCCACCCTTAGTGTCATCCGAGGAAATACTTCTGTCACTCAAAGACAACCGTAAATTGTAAAATACTTCGTAACAAATACTTTTTTTTGTCCATTTTTTTAAGGAAATCTTTTTTTCCTTCTCAAAATACTTGAACGGTACACCCATTGATTGAAGTACCTACCATAAGGACAAGACCCCCCTGTAAAGAAGAAGTCATCAATTGCTATGTCACCAGTGATACTGCTTCCTACTACGCCTTCAAATGTTACCTATCAAAAACAAGGTTTTAATTACAAGTGTAATCAGTCTAGAAGGGTCGCTTTTATGATGGACTTTAAAGACAAATTAATATTGCAGAAATGAAAAATTAAGTGGAAAGTTAAAAGAACTGTTGAAAAAAAATAGTGAAAAATCACTGACTTAATTACAATTTCAAAGAATGAAACAAACCGACAAACAAACAAACAAAGAGCAAGCACATCCGCTTTAATTGAAACGTTAAGTGATATTTTTCTTTGCATTTACGAACTTTCGAGTGATATATAACTTACATTGGTCCGCTGACCAACTTCTACTGGAGCAGCCAACGCACAAGCTCAAGTTGATTGGCTTGAGGGCTTTCTCAGTGTGCGCGCCTTACCTCTGGAACTCGCTTCCATTTGAGATTGAAAGCAGCGCATCTGTCTCTATCTTTCAAGCTAAGCTTAAGACCTATCTTTTATATCAAGCAATTTTTTCGGTAAGAATGGCGCTGAAAACCTTGCATTACGTTACCAAGGGCTCTGTGTGGCAGCGCACTTGTTTGCTGAGGAGATAAACACAGAGTCGGATTTGGTTGGACTTTTAAACCGGTGGAAAGGTGACGAACTTTATTTTCAAGATCTGCCAATATATAATAAACTAAATATCTCTTCAGCAAAGGTGGGGGAAAAAACCGCCATCCACTGAGACAAGAAAGAAGAACACACTAGGAATTAATTCGGAGGCAGGCGGAAGGGGAGGTGGTGGAAAATGCTGAGAATTGGTTTAAACCAGCGATGTGAACAACGTGATGGTGAGCGATCGAAGACAGACAGATCGAGACAGACTCTGCAATGAAGAAACGCACTGCAGAGTCCTTGTATGAGATGATGCAGCCCCTGTCTGACCATCATCGCATACACACGCGGCATTGTGAAATGTTACGATTTTATAAAGTACTTCAAACACGTCATGGTGCAGCCCTTGCGTGACCACCAATTAGGTAGAAGAGCCCCTGAGTGGAGCGAAAAGTTCTACATATGACAGACAAGACGCATGGCAGCCCATGTCTGACCCATACCAAATTAAATTCCTTGTAATGTAGAATTACGAATGTAAAGTTTAAAGGCATCAGACTTCCATCCGCCAAGAGCGCGAATCTGGGCGTCAGAAAAACCTTTGTCTGCTGCGAGACAGGCTGCGCCGATGCGAAAGCTGTGACTCTTATAGCGCTGAGCATTCAAACCACAGAAATTTAAGCAGCGCCTAAGTTCGGTGTTAAATTGATTAACCATAATGGGTGTATTGTCTGCATAGCAGAAGAGGGGACCGGGCTTGTTACCCCGAAGATTGCAATACCGGAGTATAAACTTCACAGGACAAAACGGTGAAGATTCATCACCAGGAATAACAATGTCAAAAGGGCGATTGCTTGTATTATGTTTGAAATGGGTGATTGTGATCTTAATAGAGTGGATTTTCTCACCGGATGCGAGGAATCGGATGTTATCGTACGAAATTACGGTAGTGTGACACGCGCTCCTGACCGCTAGTTCATCGATGCGAAAGAAACCATAGAAAGCTGTGAGAAACATGGCTGAAAAAAGTATACGCTGTACTGCCGAAGAGTTGGTGTGCTGGAGAGAGCTTACGAGGTCATGCAAGATAGGTTTAGATATCGGTAACCTGACATCACAAGATTTCTGACGACTGAGCGAGGTCAAAATGCTGAAAATTGGTTTAAACCAGCGATGTGAACAACGTGATGGTGAGCGATCGAAAGGGGGCGAGCACATGGAAAAGCGCCCCTAAGAATGATACAGTCCGGAACGCCCTCAATTCTGATTGGCTGGAAATAAGATAGGCTTGGAATCTGCCACCTTGGCCTGCAAACCATTATCAAATGCCTTGTCATAAAATCCCATTATGATGTCGTCATAACGGTGTCTTTTTTCGACAAGCATATTTATAGACTTTCAATTTTTTTTCTTTTTTTTCGTATAGATTATAATATATTTGACACTGTAAAGCGCATTTGGGCGTTGGAAAATGCGCTATAGAAATAAATAATTTATTATTATTATTGTTATTATTACATTTTGTATGTGTTTAATTTATAGTTAATGGTAAGATGAAGTATTATACTTTTACTTGTTTTGCTGATAAATAGAGACAGTCCGTCTAAAGTAAGATTTAAGGAAATTTAGCCTGTCGAAATTTTTCAAAAGGTGGACAAAGATTCCTGCCTTATGCCGCTTAAAATCATTGTCTTAATTTCTACTGCGTTTAGAGAAAACCGTTTTCAGACCGTCTTGATGGTCTCATCAATGCTTACCCAGTGCAATCCCACGATAGAGGATATATTTATACTAGCTTTATGCCATATGTCTCCTTTATCACCACTCGCAGAGAACACTACTGTTTCATTTATGGTAACGTTCAGGCTTGCATTAGTTCCACCAGACATATAGTAATAGAATTCAAGGCACATAATCCCAAAGAATTTCAGCGGAGGACTGCACAAGTTTGCATCATCACCTGGTTGATGTGGACTGGACGCTTCTATGTACATGTAATAACCTTTAAAGAGAAAAAGATGGATAGAGCTGAGGGTAGCAACTTACAACTAACCATTTTAAGTTGAGGAATGACTAACCAGTGCAGTGTGCCTACTAAAACAATTTTCAGTAGACCTAGTGTAAGATTTTTCCAAGTTTGTAAGCAACTGCTAAAACAGTTTTCTGACCTCGTAAGTGCAACGTAAGTGAGATAGAATGATCAGCTTGAAATGCCTTTTGAAAAAGAAAAACTAAAGTGTTTAGACTCCTTTCCAGAGTTTAGCAAGAGCTACAGAAAGAGCTACATGCATCTGAATATTAATTGGATAACAGCATATTTCATTGTATACCAGACCCCAAGAATAAAGGTAGCCGCCGGTCTCGAAAATACTTTTTCTCTGCCCTGCGGGCCTCAGTCGTGCCTAAAGCCTTTCACATGACGTCACAACGGCCATGTTGGTGTAAACGCTTTCTTTTTTCGTAAAAAGTTTGAATATGACCACGTGAGTGAAAAAGCCCTATATGGAGATAAGGTATGAAAAGAGAATAAATTAAATTCCTGCGCGACCTCAATCAAATGCACCGACAGAGACCGATTTATGAGCGCCTAAAAAGAAAACGGCAAAATATATTTTATCAGGCATGCAGGTGTGGTAATTCATTTTTAAGCGTCATTTTATATAATTAATAAAAGCGCTCGGTTGATTGATTAACTGATTTATTATATTGTTCTAACTGTTATTATTGTTTTCCACTGTGTTGACTCCAGAAAGAACAATGTTCCATTATTCTCTCTTGGTTGACTCCAAATGAAGAGGAACGTTTCTATTTTTTCTTTTGGTTTTAAAGTTTTAAAGGCAGTCACGTCATTTATGTTGCTTTTAGAATGAGAAAGGAAAGAGGATAGTCTTGCCTATATTTAATACACTTGGGCTGGGTTGTTCAAAGCTGGGTGAAGATAACCCAGGATAGTGCGAAATTTGGATTAGATTTGAAAGCTTAAAAAAAATACTGAGTTTAGTTTTCTTTTTGTCTTTAATTTGACGACTGGATACTCTGCATAACTGTAACTGTCTCTGCTAATAGTAAGTCTGGCTAGCTGTAATTTAATCAGTTTAGAGTTCACCTGTCATGCTTCCAGTGGTGTGATCAAAGGAAGGTCCTTTACTGGAAGATGTGCTTCCCCTGTGTCGAGTCCAGTCAAGCGCCCTATCTTTGCCTGGCTCGAAGCCGCACATTGATACATCAAAGTTGCATGTTATTTCTAAATTGACAAGAAGCAATTAATGAATCTTAATGTTATAAATTAATCTTTTTATGCTTAATCGATTCAACGTACTTCTGAAAAGCATACGAACCTAAGGTCCCGTTTATATTGAGAAAAGTTGTCCCGCGAAGAAGGGTCACTCGCCTACCCGAGTTACCCTGGGCGTGAACCAACTTTCCGACGTTTCGTGTCCATCTCCTTAGAAAACTTGGTAAACCGTTAACATGGCAAACAAAAGTTGGCTTGGCTATGGAAGGGTCTACTTGCCGCGCTAGTTGTTTCACTCTTTTTCGTTGACAGGGTCGCCCACCTAACCGGGCCAACTTTCCTCCATAAAAACACTTTGGCTAGCCCGGCCGGGTCAACTTGGTCAAGGCGAGACAATCAGAGCATGCGCGAGCGCTGTTTTGGACAAAAAGAACACGAGCGCGAGCATTGTTGGCTCGTGAAAAGGAGTCAACTTTTTTTCTCATGTAAATGCTCGCTAAAGTTGACTTGGTTAGGATAGTGACCAACTTTTCCGGGACAACTTTTTCCTTAAAAATGGGGCCTAACATTGAAGTACAATTTTTGACGCCAGGTACCGCGAAGCTGGGTTTAGACAAGGGATTGTTGAGTACAGGCATAAACATGCAAATTGGATTTACGCTTCTTCCGAACTGGCTAGAAATGCATCTAAAATTGGCTCATCCTCGATGTGAGAACCTGTAATACCCGCGAGCGATGTAAAACGAGGGTAACATCGGATTCAACACAAAAGAGTAAAAAATAATAATAATGATAACTCAAAGCAAAGACATGCTATACAGTTCCATACATTCCAGTTTCAATAATCATTTCGACAAGGGAATGTGAAAATCATAAATGAAAGTTGATCTTCCTTGATCGAATCGCAGCAAACCTTTCTCTAGTTCGAAAATCCTTCACGCAGTGCGGAAATTCGCACCGATGTACTGTAAATGAACCCCTTGAAACATTTACGACTGATGATGATAACGTTTTCCCTTCTGCACTAGGACATATTCGGTTGGCCCCTAATTTAACTGCATTGTTTGAGAAGGAACTTATTCCTCTTGCTCCTTCGTAAGCTATAACTTAAACTTCTCAATTTTAACATTTTTTTGCCCTTAAGTCGATATAAGCAAAAATATGAAAGATGACAAAATGTTAAAAATGCGCTCTTTCAAAGAGACAATTCACTAAGGCATTTCCCTTTGTATGGTAGTTATCAAATGATTAATTAACTAAAAAATACGTGTCTTGCAAACCCTCCTTTTAACTTATTTGAGTCTTTCTCCCATCCTCGAAGACCAAGTAACGGCGAATGTTTTCTCTGAGGATGTTCCTCTCCCTACCTTTTTGGCAACTGACGTCAATCTCTCTGACAAATTCATCCAGTGATTTCCTGGCTCTTTGCTGCTTTGTATTTATCTCGTTTTTTTTTTGGTTTATGTTATTGGAATACTCTGCAAAATGAAGTAACAGAGAAGGACAGGAAATTAATACTCTCCCCAGTTTAATGAAAATGAGCAACGGATTTAGATTCGAAGGAAAATCTCTTTACAACTGGCTAATAGTAATAAATTTACATTTATTAAGTACTACAGTTATTCATTATATTTCCTTAGTTTTCCGAATTTTATCGACGACAGGAACAGGAATATAGGAACTGTACTTTAACGTATCCATAGCGCACGTGCCACAACTGATAAGTATGCTGGGCACGTTTTCTCGCTAATGTTTCTATAATAGCAAACAATAATAATAATAATAATAATAATTTCTTTATTTACCCTCGGTAGTATTAATTTATAGCACTTATGCTAGTGGGGTCGAGCAAATGACTGTAACAAATAATTAAAATCAAACATTACTGGTTAACAATCCCAACTGGCAGGAGGCAAACCAGCTGGCTATTAACAAGCGTGGTCGAGTATTTGAACTCGGGACTACCTTGAACAAATCCAGCTAGCGGTCAGGGCGGGACTTGAACTCGGCACCTCCGAATTGAAAGTCCAGCGCCTAACCACTCGGCCAAGCTGCCTCCTCCTCTGCGATTTGTTCCGAGAAATCACTAGATTTCACAAAGGTTGAGAAGGATTCCCCGACATATTCTCCAGCAGCTGGTTTGCCAGGGGTCCTACCCTTGGGGCAAGGCGATGACATGTCCATAGTGAACTAAAACCAGATAGTGAACCACTAAAAAATATCAGACCCAAATTTTGACCAGGGTCTGTTGGTTCTTAGTATGGAAAGCGTTGCAGACTTCACATATATCAATTAACTGCTTCAGTTGCTTGTTCATCCCTGGTCATCATAAAGATGTTCTGGCACGCCTAAGGGTTGAATCTTTGCCCATATGCGCAATTTCAGTTGGTAATCAGGATCTTTCGCATGCAGTACCGCTGAGGCTCCTAATCCACTTGTTCACCCACTTCGAAGTATTTCAGCAGTGGTGGGTTTAAAATGAGGGTCTTTATTTCATCAAGGCTTTCTGTTTATTTTATTCCCAGATAAACGCATTGCTGTTCTTCAGCAGAGCTCTCAGTGGTTCTGACTTCGTTAAAAAATCTTCTGCAAATCGTGAGAGGTAGGTAACATTACCAAGTAGTCCTCTCAATTCATCGTTGTCGGTTGCGGCGGGTATGGACACAATACAATCTTGTTTTGGGTGGTCAGGTATATATCCTTTGTCTGCTAGGGCCACACCCATATGCATGTCTCCTTATTAAGTTTAATATTCTTCCGCTGGCATGGCTAGCTGTTGCCTCTTCAAAGCTGTCATCATCACCCCAGATCAACATGTCATCGACTATAGCCTTTACACCTCCCAATCCCCCTAGATGCTCATCAATTATTCTCTGAAATTCTTCAGGTGCTACACTGATGCCAAAGGGCGGCATTCAGCTAATGATACAGACCCGAAAAGGCAGTCTTGATATCAGCTAAAGAAAATACTTTAGTTAGCATTGCCGTGACAAAGATAGCATTTTTAAACTTAAAATCTGCTTGCTAGCTCACAAAATCTCACAAACTGAAGCCAATGTCCCCGAAGTGTTTGAAAACTACCTCGTAAAGGTATCTGATATTAATTCACACAATACCAGATATGCTTTAAATCTGTACCACGAGTAAGGTCAAATTATCGCAAACACATATTTAAGTTTGACATAACCAAAACTTGGGAAGAGATTCCTACTAAGATAAAACACTTAGCTACCATAAGTTCAAAACAGAATACAAGCGAATTCTAGTTAACTCTCAAAGGTAACAATGTAATATGACTGTTTCACATAAAATGACTGCTGACATAATCGTCCATAGTTGCCATGGCACCAAGCGCACATTTATTCTGCATTTTCACTCATAATATAGCCGTGGTTAGCTCGAAAGCTAAGCTCCTCTTACCACCGTACACTTCTATCCAAGCCATTAATTTTCTTTTTTCCTTCTTCTTCTCCTTTATTAGTGTATTCCTACCTTACTATATATAATGTAAATATTTTATAAAAGTGTGAATAAAAATTGAATTGAATTGAATTGCTATTTCTGTAAACAAATGATCAACAGCTGAGTTTGGATACTCATATCGTTTGAGTGCGATGTTCAGTGGTCTACTGCCTATGCAGAGTCTAATTCCATTTCTTAGCAGAAGGTTTGCAGTTTACAACTGTAGGAGCACTTACCCATTCAGTGGGCTCAATCACTTTCTCAAGTGTACCTTGCTGTTGGAAGTCTTTTACTTTAGCAACAAAATTGTTTCTTAATACACAGAGGGATCTCTCTTAGAGCTCTTTTGTGTGGAATCACATTATTACTCGTGTACAGGGGTAGTTCGCCGTCAAACTTTCCTATAATGTCACCAAAGACTTGAGGGTAGTCGTCCGGTCAGAACGGTCTTCAAGGGGAGTGATGTTGGCACAATTCACTAGCAGTTAGGGGGTTTAGCTGCATGTTCTAGATCTCCGTAAAACCTCAATGAGTCTGAGCGTTTCATAGTCGTTCAGGCCAATAAGGGTTGCTAGGTCTCATTCAACAATTCTAAACTGAATAATCACTTCTTCATTGGTTTCAGGATTTACTCCTGACAAAGACTTTTCTGGTTCCCAGTGTCTAAATTTATATGGTTTCTTTATAATAGTGAGAAAGAGCAGGCTTGTTTGCATTGAGATTATAGAATCCACTGATGTCTTTGTACACATTCCGCACAGGGAGAATGCTACATGCAGAACCAGAGTCTATCTGTTAGCTAACAGGAACCCTTTTCTTAACGGACAGCAATATAGTAGGCTTTCAAATGCTTTCTTGTGATCACAGTTTTCGGGTTAAGTACAAAGATTTTGTTAAGACCTTCATAATAGTGGATCCTCACCATTTTCTTCCACTCTCAGTACAAATTGCCTTGTAGATGATTTTGATTGTTTTTGATCTGAGTGTTCCTCTTGTATCCCTTTTTGTGATTGTTTACACTTCTTTAATCGATCTTTGCGTCTTGAAAGTGATTTTTGATCTTTCACTTTCTGTAGACTGCTCCCCAGGTATGGCCAAAATTCTTGTCTGAAAAGGCGCGAGCTCCCTTTTTGTTGGCACTGTAATTACACATCTGGGCTTTCTAAGGCTTATTTTTAGAAACAGCTTTTATGCTCTCCTTTGCAGGAGGTCGGTTTGCACTACACTCTTGAACTTCAGTTTCAGTACTTTCATAAGACTTGCCAATTGTAATAGCTTTACCTCTTGCAAAAGTGCTTGCTTATTCTAGGAATTGTTCTTTCGGTTGTGTATCAGATACACCGTAAAAAGATGATCTCCACCTTCTCTAATCTTCGTCTACATAATTGCAGTCTCTCAAGGGGTTGTCTCTCCGGTTTTTTGCACTCGTTCTTTAAATTTCTTTTAGAAACAACATTCTCGCTACATTCTGGACTTACCGCTCTCTCCAACTTCGTCCCGGACATCAGTTTGTGGTCGTAATACATCGTCCGCACTCGTTCAAACAGTCTGTAAGCTGTCGTAGATCTTTTGACCTTCAGGACCGAGCCAATCTTGTAAAAGAATACATTTTACTTGCCTTCGAAATCGATTCAGAAGACTTCTTTTGAAGATGTAAACACAGGTCTTTGTAAAGGTTCTCAGTGGTTCTCTTCGAGGGAATTTTCATGACGCCCCAAATCGAAATTTGGTCGTTTGAAGTTCGTGATGTTTTCGTTATGAAATCCAGCTGGGTTCTGAACTGGGCCAGCTTCGGCACCGACATGTTTCTCAGTAGCGGTAGAGAAATTTATCACAGGTTGTTACAGCAGACACGAAAATTCCAGTGAATTTGCACATATAATTAAAATAAATAAAAAAAAACGCTGGTGAAAATTTTAAAAACACCGGGTCAGGTCTTGGCGCAAAATTGCACGAGCAGTATTGTGTTTCGACTAGATTCCATGCACACTCACAGACTCAGACTCCAAACGATATCACAGAAAGTCACCAGACCAATAGCAGCAAAATAATCTGCGTTTTTTCAATTCCTGGTACCATGTTTTGGAAGTATATCTTCACAGACACGAACAGTTAACTCAACTCAACGCCATTACTAAAAGTTTCCCTTCACGCGTTCTCCCATGATGCACATCAATATGGTTCGTTACCACCCTGTACCAATCAGTTTTTTTATGATAGTAAATGCAAAAGTCTTGTCCAAGGCCGGGTTCGCTGAAATCATTTCGGGTGATTATTTCAAACCTCAATTTATTGTCAAGAAAAACGTGGAAAACCCCTTTTTGTTTGCAACGTAATTTCACGAACTTGACCAACCAGGGACACCAGTACAAGAGCCTTCAAGGGCACCAAAGTACACTTTTCCAGTTTATACAGAGAATGAGCTCAAACATGCAATCGATAAACCATTTTAACTTAAGGCCGGTATCTGCCCAACAATAGGACAATTGCACGATGACGATATTTGACTACAACTACCAGAATTCATTTCGGTTTTGCTTTGTTATTTAAATTTGTCAATCCCACTGAGGATTAAAGAACAATAGCCTTAATTTGCACAAGAAAACAACAAACTCAAGGATTCTGGTAGTTGTAGTTAAATGACGTCATCGTGCAATTGTCCTATTATGATTTGCAATTGATTTATGCTAACTTATAATAATTGTACTCATTAGTAGTTGTTACCTTGAATGTTCTGCTGTGCTTTTATTATCACTGGGAACATGATCAAGAAAACAGTGATAATTATTTTTAGAACGTCCATCTTTGAATCTGCGAAAAAGACAATGCATATGCGCTCAGTTGGTTTTTAAGTGGCACTCGTTGACAAAGATATAAAAAAAAATTACATAAGACGATATAATGAAGAAGAACTTTAAAGAAATATGAACACGAGTTGTAAAGCTCGCATTGGGCGCTCTTGTTCATTCATAGGAAAGAATATTGTAAGAAATGAGCTGAAATTTGGCGGGAAGTTTTGGTTACCGACGGGTCTCATCTTACACTGCCATCTTAAATGTTCTCGAATATATAATATATATCTTACAATTCCCAACCTTCTATAAGAATCTATGTATACCTTATTTTTCTCAATTACACCGAAAAATTTTCTAGGAATAATATGCTTCAAAATGCTCTAATGGTTGGCAATACCGATCTCATATCAGACAAGCTCAACCTTCTCTCTCCCCCATAATATTTTAAGAAGTTTAAAGCGCAATTATCGTGATGATTTCCAAGTTTATTTATTAGACGAAACGATCGACCTGTTCCGGAAAAGCTCGATATAGGATTTCTATTCTATGGACACGAAGTACTGCAAGTAGAGTGCGTAATAGCATAAACACATCCGTGACACATACGTAACGTCAGACGGGTAGTTGAAGTTGCTTCCAGTAGTAGTCGAAGGTTAAATCATTGATATCTCAAGTATTTATAAGGTGCAACGCGACGTCACATCTTAACAACTGCGAAATTCTATCAATGCAACAAAGTGAATCTATTTAATCGTAGAGCTCCAATAATTGCGACAATATTCGGAGAAACGTAACGCCTCAATACTCCACAGTAATATTTTCTCATCCAACGAGCGGTATTTACTTTTTAATATACGAGCATAATTACGCGAAAATCAAAGGGCCTCGATTCGGTGAAATTTACACCATTGCTAAAAACCTGTTCAACTTACATGCGTCATTTCGTGCAGTCATCGCCGAATCATCAGGAGACTCATTTATCTACAACGAAGATCGTCACGATTCTTATCCCCCAGTTTCCACGGTCTCCGCTATGGAAGGCGTAGCCTACAATCTAGGGAAGGCCGACGAAAAAAAACGCCTGCATTTTTAGAGTCTCGCGGTGCTAAAGCAAGCTCGACTAACAAATAATAGCATGATTTGTACGTGAGTAGGTAATATGATTTGTAGTGATATCTGGCATAAATACCACTCGTGATATTTCAAAATTGTCTCAAATTTCACTCACCTAACGGCTCGTGAAATTACGTATAACAATTTCGAAATATCGCTCATGGTATTTATGCCAAGTATCACTACAAATCATGCTATTACCTACACTTATGGATTGAAATCTAGTTTGAGAAACATGGAAATGTGAGGTAATATACAGGCATCAATCACCACTAACCGGTTTTATTCCAAGAGTATTTTGCTTTAGCTTGTAAAAGTCTTAGCTTTTCTGGCAAACCGGGTTAACAAAAAACTCAACTCACTGGCAGTGAACCGTTAAATTTTGTTATTTTTTAGTAGGTTTCTGGCTAATTTTCGGAAATAGACTGCGTTCCGTAATTCAATCACCAGGGGTCTTCGTAAAGTTGCTCAGGTTTAAATTTTTGACGCAGATTATAGAACAATTTTATTCAGTATAATCTGACCCCGTGAAGTTTCAAACTGGTACATTTCAGTCTAGAAATTTTTTAGGTAAGTGAAATGCAGCCAGAAAGTTCCTGATTACGGCTTAAATCACAACCTAAATAGTTAGCAAAGCACTACCTTTTTCGAGGTTCGATAAATGACAGGATTTCGCATGGAATAGACAATAAACTGATTGAAACATAGTACACACATTATATCCCCTTCTTATCTGCGAAAGCCGGCCTTCGGTTCAAACAAGAGAGCCCGCTTAGACGTACAATAGATACAATTCATGTCGAAGATTGGTTTCCAGCTAAGGTAAACACTGACGAAACGTCTTTATGGCTAGCACAGAAGATGACTGTTCTTAGATAGTTTATGAAGGCTTTATTATGGAGGACTGTCTGGGTAAATAAGCTGACTTTCAACATTTATAGAACTTTAAGTAACCATTTTGGTTTGCAAACTTTATCACGATTGCGCAATGTTGTGTGTTGTCATTAAATTTAGCGCTCCTGTTTACAGTGTGTGTTTGAATGTCACCGGATTCTCTTGTTATACACTTGCTGTTTATCCTTTCAATTCTTGCGTCTGTAACACTATACATAATATTAACCACCTGGCCGATTAAACAGCTTCGCCAAGAAACAGGTATTTCTGCCGTTATTTTCAGCCTTTTTATATGGTCAAGGGTTTTTTTTTTCTTTCTTTTAAGGCTATAGAATCACAGTTTATTCAACTTCGATCAAACAGACAGAACAAAAATTTTAATCAAAACTGGTTAAGATATTTGCTCAAAAATGCTTTCTTTTGTCTATATGTAGAGTCTTTTGTAGGGGCATCAGAGTGTTTCTCACATTAGGCTTTCTGAAATCATGCGAATCCGAGCAGACTCTTCCCGGGCAATTGTTTTCTTTTCTTCTTGTTTTTGCAGTTCAATCATAAAATACTAAAACCAAAAATGGTTAGGGCAGACTCATACTTATACTCGTACTGTAGTTATACAGTATTCGAAAACCTGGAGCTTGCTAGGCCAGCTTAAGAAGCTAATGCGTCTAGTTTTAAAGGAAGAATTCAAGGAGATACGTTAAGTTATAAAATACCTGAAAAACGGCTTTTTGAGTTATGTTCCTGATTATACTTTTTCCCGTTTGCTGTTGAATTTGGAACAAAACGGAAATTTGTTCATAAAGCGAAGGTGAAAAGTTCTGCAGCTGCTGCTCTTAATTGCAATTATAATTAACTTGTGGAAAAGACGTGCCAAACATTAAGGTGTTTTGATAATAACAGTTTTTCGTAGACCCTACCGCAGTTTTTCAATCGCCTTAAAAGTGATTTTATCCTTGTCCCATCGCCACAAACTTTTCACCAGTAATTAACTATGAATTGAAGTTTGTCAAAATGTAGTTTTTTTTAAAATCGATATCACTATGAGCTATTATGAAAACAATAAACAAAAAACTCTGAAATCAATTGAATATGAATTTCGCGCGATCTAGACCTGCTACTGAAAATCCGACAGAAGGTACTTAAAGAGTGGTATTTAGCAAATAACCTCCCTGAGAACTGAAAAATTCTGTATTTTCAAATTCAAATAAAACGTTAATATATTTCAAACCTCATATTTTCAATAGCCGTGATAAATTATTTTAAAAAAAAAGTTCTACATATATAACTCAAATTAATCTTAATTGGCGCCAGAAGGCTGTTTAATATCACATTTCGATGCATGGAAATTTTGGTTTATTTCTTTTCTTCGATCCTGAAAACTAACTTGTTTTCTCACCACCTGTCTAAGTGCAACTTAATTCTAAATGTTGGCTTTTAGCGCTTTTCTGTATATCTCTAAAACGGCTCGACAGAATTCTTTTTAAACCTCATCACGCAATCTCCATGATGTATATATTAATTTCTGAAACTTCCATTCTGATTGATTCCCTGCAAAACCTTGAAATTTCAAGATGAATCTAGCCTACGAACCAACGAAAAACCCGCGTTCACTGTTTTGACGTTATGCTAATTATTCCAAATTAATGCTCACCATACATACCTCCAAGGCTTGTAAATTTTAGAATGACTTTTATTGCATATTTTGAACGTAAAACATTGACAATTCTCACATTGAAATGTACTAGCCATGGAGGTATGTATGGTGGGCATATTAATGTGTAAAATAAGTATAACGTCAAAACAGTGAAAGCGGATCTTTAACTGGTTCGTAGGCTAGATTGGTCTTGAAATTTCAAGGTGTTGCAGTGAATCAATCAGAATGAAAGTTTCAGGCATTAATATATACATCATGGAGATTGTGTGATGAGGTTTAAAAAGAATTCTGTGGAGCGGTTTTAGAGATATACAGAAAAGCGCTCAAAGCCAAAATTTAGAATTAAGTTGCACTTAGACAGGTGGTGAGAAAACAGGTTAGTTTTCAGGATCGCAAGAAACGACATCCACCAAAACTACCAGGAATAGAAATATGATATTAAACAGTCTTTTGACTCTACTTAACATTAATTTGAGTTATTTAGAACTTTTCCTTTTAAATAATTTATCACGGCCATTGAAAATATAAGGTTTGAAATATACTAACGTTTTATTTGAATTTCAACATACAGAATTTATCAGTTCTTTAGGAGGTTATTTGCTAAACACCACACATTAAGTTCCTAATGTCGAATTTTTAGTAGCAGATCTAAATCGTGCGAAATTGGGATTTAATCGATTTCAAAGTTTCATCTTGTTTATTGTTGTCATGGTGATATCGATTTTACTAAAAACTGCATTTTGACAAACTTCAATTCATAGTCAATCACTGGTGAAAATTTTGTGGCGATCGGACAAGGATAAAATCACTTTCAAGGCGATTGAAAAACAACGGTATGGTCTCCGAGAAACTGTATCGAAACACCTTAAATCTGAAAACTGGGCAACGTAATGTTTTCTATCTAGTCAGTAGTCAAGCTTTCGTTTTTATTTTTTTGTACGAAAAATATTTTTAACAAGTGTTAATTGGCACTAATGTTATGCCACACATTGTAAATACAAGATGTCAAAAGGAACCCCAAGATCCGACGATCGCGACGGTGGCGAATACGTCGCCTAAAAAGTGAATTTACGTTCTTTCAATTTTTATCGCGATTATTTGAACTCACTTTGTCGAATGTAGGGAACTATTATGGGGTTGAATTCCAAAGAACATGCAAGTTCAGAAAGGGTAAGAAAATTTCTTACTGCATAAAACATGAAATTAGCCAACCATTTTCAAGCCGTAGACATACAGTGATGGTAAAGAAAAAAATGTACAAAAAGTGGGCTATACGTGTAAAGTTGTTGTTTTGCTCAATATTAACCCTATTGTTTTTTGACGTTCTCGTTACTGTCGCCGTCGTCGAATCTTAAACGGTCCTCAATATTATAGTAAGACAGGAAAATGTGTGAAAGCACCCACTATATAAGTTATAGCCTTTTATAGGGTAACTAGGCGATAAATTCCATCGACAGAAAACAAAAAAATTAAGAAAGAAGCATATCCGGTTAGGACCGTTGGATTGTCAGAACCAGTGATATGCAGCGGCGGGGGGTGGGGTGGGGGTGTTCGAACCCTCGCATTTGATACAAGTTTTTAATTTGTCCGAGTGACTGAACTTCAGGGCTGTGACGATTTTTGTTCTATCTTTCTTTCCATTTTTTCCCTCTGTCATCTTGCCCCGTGCATGTCAGCCGTATTTGCAAGAGAATTGAATACGACCACTTCCATGCCAAGTTAAAGGCCTCTGCCATTTGTTACAGTTTTGAAGAGAAGAATTTCAAGCTGATGTGCATATAATTTTTGTCTTCTTGGTCACGAATTACATCGACTGAAAAAATAAACCACAGCCGCGAACAGTTTGATGTTTAAATCTTCTACTTCTGTATTAACCCTTGAACGTACAAGAGGGGGGAGGGATTTTTTTTATTTTTTTCCTAGGCGATAGAACATCAGCACCTTACGTTTTCATTAGCTGTTCGTTCAGATCCCTCGCGCGCATTTTGAGACAAGTTCAGTGATGGTCAGTTTCTAGGGTTACGAGATATGACGCCATAAGTAGCAGGTGCTCAAGCCAGTTTTGAGTGAAAATACATGTTTCTTCAACTTCTTTCAACAATAAAAGTATTAATCTTGTGGCTGAGATCATGCAAAGTGCTTATTTGTGTGTTATTTTACATGTCAAGCACAAGAAACTACCATTTCGCGCAGTTTTGTCCTGATTTTTATTTCTGGTAAAATCCAAGATGCCGACCATTGTTGCTGACTTCGCAGGCCTCCAGCAGCGCTACCACCCATAAAATATACCTCATCTTGTTAAGAGGATCAAAGGCTTTCCACTGAAGGAAAAATTGTTTTGACATCATAAACCATATTATAAAAAAGCAGGGGTCTGTATATAAAAGCAATAGACTTCATTATTCTATTGGTTATCCGGCGAAATAACCCATTTGGAATTGGAAGAACACCAGATCCTGTTCTACCAGCATTCCCCTAAAGTTATTCCGCTGGCAAACCCAAAGAAATTGCTCCTGGAGGTAACGATTTCTTAATCATAGATCAAAGAAATGTTTCTCTATAATTTTAACTTCTCCTCAGATCTGATGCCATAATGATCACACTCGCCCTATTGGTGTCACTCCTCTTGGCAGTAACAAGGCGTTACTCTGGTAAGTATGTCCATTTGATTTATATCAATTTTTAATTTCATAATAAGTGAGAGATTTCTTGCTAGCTTATTGGTCTTGGAGAGCTCAGTATGGTCGATGTGATTTTTTTAACAGCTTAGGAGCGGCAAAGAATGCGGGGCGCATCTAGACACCCACGGCTGCCCACGGCAAGGCAATCATCGTCTGCCTTCGGCCACAACTTATAACACTTTCAACGATCTTGACCAATCTCATCCAATAATTGCATTGTTCATTATCGTTAAGTCACAAGAGTCATAGCCGCCCAACTTGATCCTTTCTCCTTTTAGCTTTGGAATGCCCAGAAACGTGGAGCGAATTTGAAGGCTTTTGCTACAAGGTCATCGATAGGCTCGGTTATCCGCGGAGCTTTGCTTGGTCAACAGCTTTAAGCGGGTGTTTTGGGCTTGGAGGAGACCTGGTAAGCATATCGAATGAAAAAGAAATCGACTTTGTTCATAACTTGACTTTCAAGGACGCAAACCCCACTTCTGTTTGGATTGGGTTGGTGTATCGACATCAAACGGGTGGATATGTATGGAACAATGGAGAATCGTTTAACATTTCTGCTTCCGTCCAGTGGCTCAGCAACATGTCGAGAATTGTTTATGAAAACAAATGCGTCGAAATCTTGAAAAATGGTTGGAAACTCACCGAATGTTGCAAGGAAAATGAACATTTCATCTGCAAGAGACCGAAAGGTGAGTTGTTCCTGTGGGGAACTCTACACTGAAAATGATGGGATAGTTTCGAGCGGTAAATTTGATCCATTAAGGCGCTAAAACGCCTGCTTTAGGGCTGTCTCATGTGAAGTAAGAAATGGCTCCACATAGCCTTTACGCCTTTAAATTTTAGGCAGGCTAGGCTGCACCCTGATATTTGGCTTTTCCCATTTGTTTTCTCGTTTTGTTTCGCACTCATTTTTACCTTAACTGTTACTGTGCCTGGGTAAAAGAAGTTTTTTTGGTGGTTACACTGCACTTTTTGTCACATGACCAGCCACGCTCATAACTGTGACAAAATTTTACCTTTTAGAATTGCCACACTCAGAAACATCGTACAGATCTAAAGTTTTCTTGTATTCTATTTAGTTTAATACTAAATATAACAAATTGATCAGCGGAAAATTTTAAAATATTTTATTCCTTGGTGAGAAGTTTATGTTCTCTGCCTCGTCCCAGTCTCTTTAAAATGAAAACCTAAAGTTTATAGCAATGCTATGATTATTATCGGCTTCAAACTATTTGCTCTGTAAATGTTTCACAAATTAGGTCCATTGGCTTGTTCTGCTGGATGGTTTTTTAATGGAGTATCTTGCTACAAAGAAAATAATAAGGATACCTGGGAAGGTGCACGACAAGGGTGTACTGCTTCTGGAGGTGATTTAGTGAAGGTTGATGATGACGATCAAAAACTATTATTGATTCACTTCATGGAGGTTATCGGTCTGAAGCAAACGAAAATAGATGTAAGTACCGAGTCATTAACTCTTTGAGCTTCAAGAAATGATTGCATGATCAGCATGAAATTTTTCCTTGTTACTGATGCTTCAATTTTTTCTCCCCAGCACATCTGTAGGATAAGTGTAAAAACAAAAAATAGGCATTTAATTTGAGATGCTAGGTTTTAAATGCATATTGAGCATGCTCAAGGCTAGGGTAATTTATCATAATAAGAGATTTGAAAGAAGAATGCGGCAAAATTACATTTTTGATGTAGTTCGTGACACAGAACCAATTGAATCAGTGATGTAGACAGTTTTAATTTCATTTTCATTAGTTTCTGATCTTAGACCCTAACCCTGCAATGTATCTTGAGACTACGCAGTTAAATAATGTTCAAAAGACCACATTTCACGTTACATTGGGAAGCTAAACGCACAAACTGAATTATAACAAGATGCCAGTTTATCGTTCCTCATGCATTCCGGGCGTCCCAATCCAGGCAGAATACTAGTGAATTTGATATAAAGCAAATTGTTCTGTCCTTCATCAGCTGAGACGTCTTGATCTAAAATGCTACCTTGATTGTAACCTGAGATCAGGCGTTATTTTTTCTTTTGCTTCTTTGTTTCTTTGGCTCGAGAGGGAAAAAAAATAACGCCTGATACATTCATTTAACAAGCCGTTAACCACACCCTAATTTACATAATCTAACGTCTGCTCGACCTGTTATGTTATTAGCCAATAAGCGTTTACCATACGGGAATAAAATTTTGGCACGAATAATGTCTTTTTTTAAATCAATTTTAGGGAAAAGAAAATTTTTAAGTACCTCCGTGTTCAGATGGCGCTTCCTAAAAAAAGTTTCAAATGTGTTGTTTTTGTGATGAAATACTGCTAGCTGGAGCTGCCGTACCTTTATTTAACAGCTACAAATAATTAAGAATTTACTGGTTAAAGCTCGTTGACTTCTTCGTTCTGTGCCGAAAGCAATGAAAAAAGAAATTAGGCTGAAGCACCATATTTTACGAACCGAAAGGTGTTGTGAAAGCGAAGATCGCTCAGGATAATTCGCAAGTTTCTGACAAACTAGGTCAAGATTCCATTCATGAATTGATTATTTGAAAAGTTAACCCGTTTGTCGCTTCCGTAACTTGTAGCCGGTATCAAATTGCATTCAAATGATCCGTGAATTTTTTACTGCATCTTTGATTGTAAGTGATCATAATTAAGTAACTGCATACTGTCATACTAATGGCAGTGGTGTTAGTTACATCACGCGGACAATTCCCGCAACAACATCAGCTTTAATATCAGCCTTAGAAATGTCTTGGCCGAGAAATCATCATAAAAGGCCAAAAAAAAGAAAGAACTTAAATATATACGCTAAGACTGATGCGAATAACTAGCTAAGACAATGACTACTGTACTTTGTTAAAAGAAAGCCGAGCATAAATCACGAAACGGAAAAATGATTGGTCAGATAATGTTCAATGGCGTGACGGCAGAGAAATTGACGAAATTTTGCAGATTTCCTTTTAATATCACACTATAAACAACAAAAACATTCAATTTTCACATGATAGCTATTTCCCTGAAGATGTCAAAAACTAATTGTTAAAAAAAGAGTTAACAAGTTAGGACTTCTTAATGGTAACATTCATAAGAAAATCTAATGACTCGATTTGCGTAAACCTACCAAATTAAAAAATTAGATTTTTCGATACATTCGATACATCCTTAATTGTTGCCATGGTAACGATCGAAATCTTACCTCTAAACTGTCCATACCAAATGTGAGCCTGATACCTTCAACGAGTCTTGAATGACACTCCAAATATCAAAGTGTTTCCAACCACCTTAACTGTGGCTTGTAAGTAAATTGTTCCATTTAATGTTTTTTTTCTATCTCCCTTTTAATACCTTTATACAGCACGTATGGATTGGCCGAAAAGGTGACTCAAAGTGTTGGCAAATGAAGACAGACTTTGGAACGATAGAAGAGGGGCCGGACTGTCACGACCAAAACAACTATATTTGTGAAATGCCACCGTCAGTAACAAGTACGTTTTATATCATCCACATCAAGAAGGTTTAAAAGAAGGAGTTTAAAAACTTAGCATGTTATTGCACAAATAGCCCATGCTCAATATGAGAGCCCTGGACAACACTATTCTACTTAGCTAATTATTTATTCATACGGCGACAACCACATAAGACGTTGTATAAAAATTATTGCTTTTTCTCTAAAATTGGGCGAAATATGCATTATGTTTTTCCTTTTAAACTTTCGTTTAGTATTTTCGTGTTAAAGTCTATCAAATTTTAGTGAATGGCTTCCAATATGTATAAAAGCTGCGCTTCTAGGCTTGTCTAAAAGCTATATTTTCACGCTTTTGTCCCAGACTTTGAGGTAAGTGACCCTGTCAGCGAGATACTTGATGGTTTTAAAAACTTCTATAATTCTGCATTTATCTTTAGGCACTGTTTGTTATGAGTACCCTAGCGGGAATTCATCTGTTCCCATTACAGTCAACTGTGCATTTCCAGAAAACCTTTGTTTCAAATACGACAGTACAACGGCAAGCGGCGAACAAGTCACCATTCAAGGCTGTATATCCGCTGATCAATGCCGACAATTTGAAGATCAACATTTACACTGTTGTGAAGAACGTCTGTGTAATAGTAGTAAGTATAATGGACACAAAAAAGCTAAAAAATTGTCAATTTACGCCCACCGTGCAATGTTCCTCAGAAACAGGGAGAAGTTAGATTATTTTAAGGAAGATCCGTGAAAAAGGAAAAGCCATGCTTAGCAGCGAGGTAGATTAATGTACCTGTTTTATTCAGCGCACAGTCGCACGTTTGCTATACCAATTATAATGCAATACCTTTAGTTTCAGTTATGAACACCACGATGTCTGAACCAGAAAATCCGACACCCGCTATTTCTAAAGTCATTTACATCTCAATTGGTGTTACCTCCACTTTTTTGCTGCTGTCCGTCGCTTTTTTCGTCTGGTGCTACAGAAGAAAGAAGTTAAAGACTATTGAAAGGTTTGTGTAGCTTTTAAATTGCTAACCACATTGTTCAGCGTATTTTTTTTCTCCAGTTGAATGTGTATCAAAAACACATAAGCCAAATGTTACGTTCGTAGGATTTTAATTTTAGGTCGATGTTATTGGTTAGATTGCATCACGTGGCCACCTATACAGCGTCGTGCACCTGCCTTGATGACAGTTACAAGGAAGTCACTCAGGCTGCAATTTCTATTTAAAATAATCAAGCATTTTGTTTTAGCCAAGGGGTTGAAAACCTAAAAAGACAGTAAAAAAGAAGAGATGCTAAAGAACAATAGCTTGAAAATTAAATTAAAAATTGACTTGATTGATAAAAAAATGTTACTGCGTTCGACGTCGGGCGAACGCAACCTAAACTCAACGCC